TCCTTGGAAACCCTATACAGGGTCGCTATGAGTAGGAATGGACTTAACAACAAGAAGACAAGAAAGGGTTCCTTCATTTTCATTTGTATGGCCTCGGTCCTAACTTGCTACCAATCACACAGCTCTTGAGGAATCCCTAGCAGCCAGACCCAAATCAGTTCCGGGCCAGTTGGGGCCACAAGCTCAGAGTTCCTTAGGACACTCCACCTTGGAATAGTGTCCTGGGTCAAAGGGAACACAAATCAGTCAACCAGCATGGTGTAAGACCTCTGACTGTAAAGTCACACTTCTGGGGTTCAAATCCCAGCTCTGCCTCTGAGAAGTTCTGTGCCTCGATTTCCTCATCACAAAAATGGGTATAATCATGTACCAATGTCAGAGGAGGACGTGAAGCTGAAGTGACCTCATGAAGGGTGGAACTAACACTCTTTGTTCTACATCATGTCATCCTTTGTGACACCAGTCTCAGCACGGGGAAGGCAGTGGTCAGGTGCTCTGTTTCTTACCATAATGTTTTTAGCACCTAGTGTAGGGCCAGGGCCCTGAGTGACTTCTCAGGGAAAACTCATCCAAGAACTGGAAGAATGAATGGATTAAGGAAACACACGGATCGGCCATCTTCCCTTTCTTGACCTCAGTTCTCTCATCAACCAGAAGGGCAAACCAGATGGTCATCCACTAGGACTCTTCCCATCATTGTCGGACCGTGATCCTATGAATCCAACGAAGGGAAGAATATTGATAACTAGCTACATTTTGAATGCTAAGTGTTATGTTTCACATGGATTACTTCAATTCATTTCCTAGCGCTAAGAGCTCAGCAGAGTGGATTCTCTGACAAAGATTTTCTTATTTGGGGGTGGTGGTGGTTACTTCCTGTTTCAGATGTGTCTGAAAGAAAGCCTGCCTGGGGGCAAGCCTGGTGGCAGTACCTCGGGTGCGGTGAGAGCTCCCTTTCATAGGAAAACAGTTTGTGCCCCTGACTGGGTCACCTTTCACCCCTTGCTCAAGTAACAGCCCCTTTGGCAAGGGTCAAGGATAAAGGGCTCATTGTTCCTTGTCCAAGTGTAGGAAAGTCGGTCCTTGGTGTAGCCAGTAATTTCTTAAAATAGAACTTCCAAATACGGTTCCAAAGAGACCCAGAGACCGTTTCGGCTGAGATGGACATAAGGCACAGTCACATGAAGAAACCTTTGTCTATACACATACACACAACATCTCTCATTACACACACACACACCATAGAATACACATCTCTATCTAGGGGTGGAAACTGGTGCCTTACCTCCAGCTAAACATCTGTATTAACAGCCTATGACTTGACCCAGAGAGTAGTGACTTCCTGTTATGGACCCTCAGTACAAAGTGCCTTTATTCCGGGCTGAGATCTCTGGACCCCGAGACTTGTGCCCAACATGCTGCAGGACCCCTGCATGGAACCGGATATGAAGTATGAAAAGTTAGGTTGCTGCCATAGGCCAGCCTTGGCCACTCTGGCCTGCCTAAATAGAAGCTTCCTTGGTGGCATTCATCAGCAGGCCCAGGCCAGTGAGTGCTTCAGTCTCTCTCTCAATGGCCTCTTCACCACCGGGGGGCAAGGGGGTGGGGGGGAACCAGTCATGACTCATTTGCAATTCCCTGACCTTGCATGACAGACTTTTCCTAGCCGGATTCTGTGCTAACAGAATTTTATTGTCACACTGAAGATATTTTGAGCCAGTCTCATTTCCAGGCAATCTCTCTTCTGAGCCTGGGACAAACCTCTGGGTACAGCTGCATCAAGGGTCCTCGGCCAGGCACAAAAGCCACACTCTTTTGGGTTCGGTGGCAAGTCCAAATGGTGACATTCTACCTACACAAGCCAAGGTCAATGAGTCTGTCAGAACCAGAGAGTTAGGGGCAGGGCAGGTTTCTAAGTCCCTGTGGCCTGCAGGTGGCAACCCTGCTGGCGCAGTGGTTGAAGTGCTTGGCAGCTAGTTGAAAGGTGGTTGGGAGAAAGGTCATGGCAGTCTTGGAAACTCAATGGGGCGGTTGTCCTTTGTCAACAGGGTCAGAATCAAACTCCCCACAGAGGGCTTTGGTTTGTCCTGTTTGAGAGTCCTGGTGTGGCCCTGTAGGAGACG